AACACTTAGATTACATTCCCAAAGCTGGCCCCCAAGCTCTATCCCCTTATTTGATCACTTCCTCCTCCTGAGGCTGACCACCAAGGTCCAGTTGTCAACTGACTGAAGTCCAGCAACCAAAAGTCCCCTTTGGCTCGCCTAATTAACATGCCCAGTTAAAATATACCTCTGCATCTCTGCCTTCTAACACAGACCTCCCTTTTTCTATGCAAGGCATTTGCTGCTGTTGTTCTGCCTGAGTCAGAAAGCAGCTACCTTAGCTTTGCTTCCACCCCACCCCACCCGCCCCATTAATAAACGGTCTCTCTGTAAAATCAGGTGTTGTTAGTGCCTAATCTGGGGCCTGGAAGGGAGCAGCACCCCAATGTGTGCAGGTCCCTTCAGTGGTGGAGCACACCTGTAATCCCAGCACTCGGGAGGCAGAAGCAGGAGGATCTCTGTGAGTTCGAGGCCAGCCTGATCTAGAGTGAGTTCCAGGACAGCCAGGACTACACAGACAAACCCTGTTTCAAAAACCAAACCAAAACAACAACAGTCATCTCAATCATCCCCACACATACCAGGGTCCTCCTTCCTGACTGGCAGAGCCCTGCTCTCTCCAAGAGAGATTGGGATTTAAGGACTGATCAAGATGGATGACACAGCCCGCAGTGTCCAGCCTTTGAACTGCCCGGGCTTTAATACGGGGAAGGGGCCAATGGTCTGCTGTGAGCCTGGTTGGTTCTTTTTGCTAGGGAATGGAGCCTAATTGGCCAGTCTTTTTTTTTTTTTTTTTTTTTTTGTACTGTTTTTCAGACAGGGTTTCTCTGTGTATCCCTAGCTGTCCTGGAACTAGCTCTGTAGACCAGACTGGCCTCGAACTCACAGATATCCTCCTGCCTCTGCCTCCCAAGTGCTGGGACTAAAAGCGTGCGCCACCACTTCCTGGCTTTAATTGGCCAATCTCAATAACAGGTGAAGCATATTCTCTGTCCAGAGCCCATGAGTTTACTTCTCTTAGAGGCTGGAACTCTTCCTGTAGTCCCTTCCATGGCTGCTAGGCCATGGCACTAATTTAGCTAAATTCCAGCTTGCATAACAATCTTTCCTAACCCAGCTTAGCAGGTCCTCCATGATATCAACTTCTAATTCCCAGGGTCTCCTCTGCTGGTGGATGTGCATCTGTTATTCTAGTGCTTGGGAAGCAAGAGGCAGAGAGCGCTCAGGAGCTCACCTTAGCCTGCAAAAAGAGGAGAAACTTGGTTTCAGAACACAAAGAAACTAGAGATGAAGGCTGTGGCTCGGGCTTACTTGGCATGTGCACAGCCTGGATTCACCCCCAGCAAAAACAGGCATAAAAACACCTGTCACCCTAAGGAGGTGGAGGTGGGAGATCAGGAGTTCAAGGTCATCCTTGACTATTTAGTCCAGTTCCAGGCCAGCCTGTCTCCAGAATAACAAAGCAGTAAAAATCAGACCTCTTGTCCTGGTCCTGGAGCTAGTGGCTTCTCAGGGTCCTCCTAGTGGAGCCTAGGGTGGGGCTCCTCAGAGAGTGGCCCTCTTCAGCCCCAGCCTTTATCTCAGTTGACAGTAAGGAGGGAGCTGGAACCTCCCAGATGCCCCGTGAGGGTGTGGCTGATCTGAGCCTTTGGGCACTGGTCTTTACAACTTCAAGCTACAATGGACAGAAAACCTGTAAGTGCTATCGCTGGGAGCTGGGAGGAAACAACTGACTTCCTGATTTGGAAGGGGCCCTCAGACCAATGGGGATTCTTGACTAAGGACCCTGGACAATCCTCCAGACTTGGATTGTGCAAGAATGCATCTGAACAATCTTGGTCACTGGTCATTTTAGCCTCCCAGGCTTTGAACATGGCTGGTCTGTGTGACTGGAGCAGGAGGAATGGGCTCCTGGGCTCCTTTTAATCCACCGAATCCTGTAGAAGACCTACATCAGGGTCAGAAAAACAGGAAAGATGAAAAGCGGGTTTAGGGATTAGAGTCCTGGGGGAGGGGCACTGGACAAGCAGCTGTGCTGAGGAATTTCATGAGTCATGCCTGCGCACACACAGGTCCCTTCATACCCGGAGGGCAGTGGGCCAACAGTCCTGGGCTTAAGAGGTGTGGGGCAAGAACTGTGGGCCTTTGCTTTCTCACACAGGCCCTCAAGAACCCGGGGCTTCTTTAATGTGTAGGAACCTCTGAGGTCACACAGTAACCGTGTTTATCTGTGGAAGGCATGTTGGTCTTCCTCAATCTCCCAAGGTTCATTGTGTAGCTCTGGCTGACCTGGAATTTGCTCTGTAGACCAGGCTGGCCTCTGCCTGCAAGGGTTGGGGTTAAGGGTGTGGCCACCATGCCTGTATCCATCTTGGTTTTGAGACAGGTTTTCTCACTGACCCCAAGGATTTGACTGTCCGGGTTAGCCCCAGGTGCTACTATAAAGCTTGTGAGGGATCTGGTGGATTCCATGGTGGGTGAGGTTGACTGAGGAGGCAGACAAACATGCCAGGAAGAAAGAGCTTAAGTGAGAAGTTTTATTAGGTGTGGGAGGAAAGAGAAAAGAGATGAAGAGACACAGACACAGAGGACAGTAGAGAAGAGGGAGACAGGAAAGTTCTGTCAGTCCCAGGGTAACAGCAGGAAAGAAAGAGAAATAGAGAGGGAAAAGAGAGAGCAGAAAGAGAGCTTAAGTGAGCAAGGTCTAATTTTAAAGGGGTCCTTTGCACCTGAGCTGACCAGAGTACTGCCAGGTGACAGCGGCAGGCCAGCATAATGCCTGAATCCTTACACTAGGAATTAGAAATGCATCCATGTGCATTTGCTTTTGGGGCACTGGTATCTTTCTTTTTTCTTTTTCTTTTTTTATTTTTTGAGAGAGGGTTTCTCTGTAGCTTTGGAGCCTGTCCTACAACTCACTCTGTAGACCAGGCTGGTCTTGAACTCACAGAGATCTGCCTGCCTCTCCTCCCAAGTTCTGGGACTAAAAGTATGGGATCTGAATGGAGCTTTTTGTGTTGTTTGCAGACAATCAAAATTACTGAGCTCTCTTGCCACACCCCTTCAATCTTCACGTGATACAGTCTGTACAGTCCTCTCTCGGTATCTACAAGGGACAAGGTTAAGCCTGGTGTCATAGGCCTGTCACCCTAACACGCAGGAGTCTAAGGCAGGAGGACTAATGAGTTCTCAGCTGGCCTGAGTTAAGACGACGGGGAAAGCGGTGTTTGGGTTGAGATCTCTCACTTAGCAAGCTCCAGGCCTCAGGTTCCATCCCCAGCATTGTCATCCCTGTTCTGAGGAGGTGGAGGCAGAAGGATCGGGAGTAAGGCTGTCCTGGCTACATAGTGAGTCCGAGGATGGTCTGGACTACATACACTGTTAGACCTTAACTCCGAGGTCCTGATAGGCCGACGGGAAAGCCCCCTGACACAAACACCAAACCAGGAGATGCAACAAGCAAGAGGAGTTTATTGAACGAGTGCACTTGGGTGTCAGCAATCTCGGGGAAAGCTGCACACCCCTCAAAGGGTCCAGGCTCTTTTTATAGAGAAGACCACAAATCAGCATACATGCATGGGGCACAAGGTGATTGATTACAAAGTATGATCTCATGTTTGAGAGGTCAGCCAGGTATGACCTGTTCTTATTCAAAGGATAAACCATAGAATGACTTGGAAAGTCCCCAGACTGTCCGTTGGCCAGGTGTGACCCAGACAGGGCTGTTCATCTGGGACCATTTGTTCCAGGGTTGGGGGCCTATTTCCTTGTTGTGGGCCAAGACCTGTGAGAAACTTTTCTCATACTCTGATTTTCTCTTGGCTGTACATTTAGAGCCTTCAGTTACTCCGCAAAGGTTTGATGATTCAGTAACTAGCCCTATTTAACAAGATCAGCCTAGCATGACCACTAGCCCCATCACCACAGTAACCTTTCTTGTTCTCATAATTCCTGATTTTCCCCTCCCATGTCAATGTCCATTCTTTATGATTTTCTATATTCGGCTTGCAAGAATTATTCTCCTGCCCCTTTCCTACATCCTTGCACTGCAAACTAAAATCTTTCAACACCAGTTCTGAAAAAGAAAAACAGAAACGGAGGGGACGTGAGAATAGTACACACCCACGATCCCAGCATTCAGGAGGTCGAGAGAGGACGACCAAAGGTTCGGTTCAAGGAGAGCCAGGGTTACAAGAGACTATTGTCTCCTGTAGAAATAGGAAACTCCTGTACTCAAAGAGGGTGACTTTGCCTCACTTTCTATGCCTAGGGGTTCCCCTAAGCGCCCCGCACCCTGCCTTGCAGCAGAAAACCTCGTGGATAACAAACCACTAACAAACCACTACAACGCGTAGTCCTCGAGGGCCAGCTTCCGTTTCCCCGGCTTTCTCACCACTGAGCATGCGCAGTTGCTAACAACAACAAACCCACAAGCCTCGCCCCACCCACACGGTCCCTCATTCCGGCTTCCTATTGGCTGCAGGGGCCGTGCGTCTTCAGCGCAGGCGCATCCTACCAAGACGTCAGTGGGCGTGGCCGAGGGCGGGCAAGCCAGACTCTGCATCGCAAGTCCATTGGTCGGCTGCGTGAGAGGAGGAGCTCTGGCTCCGGCCGCCGCGATGAGCTGGGGCCGTCTGAGCCGCTTGCTGAAGCCAGCACTGCTGTGCGGGGCTCTGGCTGCGCCTGGCCTGGCAGGCACCATGGTGAGCGCACCGGGGAACCGGAGGACCTGTCCGCGATCGTGGGTGGGGGCAGGGTCCAGGGTCGGGCCCGTGTCCAGGGTAGAGAGCGTGGGTCGTGAGGTCTGTTAGCTAAACTAGCGGTCACCCAGGTGGGAAAGCGGACTCCGGTAGGCATCCGCGGGGCAGAACAAAGTCAGGCCTTGTCGGGGGAGGGTTCCGGGGGGTAGGAACCGATGTCGGGGTCACCATAGCGGGTTCTGACTTGGTCCCGCGCCCCGCCTGGGTTGGTGCGTCACAATCGGCAGTACCTTGGCTACCGGCTCTTTGTCCCCGCGCTGCCCTCCGGACGCACGGATGGGCCGCGCGGCCGCCGGCCACCCGGGACGCTGCAGGCAGCGTGGCGGGTCCCCGGGAGGCCGGCGACGGCGTGAATCTCGACGCCAAAGTCCTCGGAAGCGTCCGGGCCCTCGGAGGAGGAGGAAAGCTCGCGGGTGCCGCCGCAGGAGGGCACGCCCTCGCAGGACGGATCAGTCTCCTGAGCCCTTCAATCTCAAGCCTCTGCTACAGGAGCCTTCCCAGGACAGCAACTGCGCCGAGCTCCTGGGCTCGGTGTGCGGTCAGGGGAACCCCTACCGTGCCCTTCCCTGGTAGCATCTTCTAGAGGGTTCACAGCCCCTTTCAGGACAACCTGAAGGGGACAGAAGTACGGAAGGGGGAGGAGCCTTGACTCCCTAGCCTCTGGGCATGTTTTCGTGTGTAAGGGACTCTTCTCCCTAGGGGACCTGGGGTGGAACAATCAGTTTTCTTGTTTTACAGTGCGCATCCCGTGATGATTGGCGCTGTGCGCGCTCCATGCACGAATTCGCAGCCAAAGACATCGACGGTCACATGATTTGCCTGGATAAGTACAAGTGGGTACCTGGTTATGTGGGTGGGGCAAGGCCAGTCTGAAAAGGGCTCCCCTGAAGGTGGCCTCATTCCTACTCGTTCCCTCCCAGGGGTTTCGTGTGCATCGTCACCAACGTGGCCTCGCAATGAGGCAAAACCGACGTAAACTACACTCAGCTAGTTGATCTGCATGCCCGATATGCTGAGTGTGGTTTACGAATCCTGGCCTTCCCCTGCAACCAGTTCGGGAAGCAGGTGAGTGGCTGTCCCCAGGCAATGGTCCTGAGTTGGGGGGAATGTTGCAGTGTCGTGTGTCTGTGTGTGTGTGTGTGTGTCTTTGTCTGTGTGCAGTGGAGTGCACTTTATCAGTCACAGTGTATTGCTGCCCGTAGGAACCAGGAAGTAATCAAGAAATCAAGGAGTTTGCAGCCGGCTACGATGTCAAGTTTGACATGTACAGCAAGATCTGTGTAAATGGGGACGATGCCCACCCACTGTGGAAATGGATGAAAGTCCAGCCCAAGGGCAGGGGCATGCTGGGAAAGTGAGTGGCCTCGGGGGCTGGGGTAGGGGCCAGCCAGATGGCTCTGGATTAGGGTGGGAGCGGGTGCCAACTTTTTGATTTCTTTTGAGGTAGGGTCTCACCGTGTAGTTCTGGCTGCCCTAACTCCAAAGTGCTGGGATTAAAGGTGTGCACCACCTGGCCTGGCCTCAGATTTATTTATTTGTATTTTATGTGTATGGGTGCTTTGCCTGAGTGTATATTTATGTGCACTACTTGGCTGTAGTGTGAAGGGGCCAGAAGATGGCTTTGAATTTCCCAGGGCTGGAGTTGCAGGGGCTTGGTAGGCTGTACCACCGTGTGGATGCTGGGAACTGAACTTGAGTCCTGTTAAAGAGCAGTCAGTGCCACCCCCTACCTTTTCCCCTCCTCAGGTCATTTTCATTTTGTTGTCTGCATGTGTGTCTGTGTACTACATGAATGTTGCCCTCAGAGGTCAGAAGAGAGCCTATGATTCCCTGGAACTGGAGTCACAGACTTTGTGAACTGCCATGACATGGGTGCTGGGAATTGGATCCCATTTCTTCAGAAGAGAGCAATATATTCTTTAAACTACTGGGTGCCCCCCCCTTTTTGAGGCAGGGTCTCACTGTGTAGCCCTGGCTGTCCTGAAACCTGGTGTCCCCCACACTGGGTAGAACTCAGATCTGCCTGCCTGTGCTGGGGTTAAAGGTGTGCACCTCCATGTCCTGGCAGGTTCCACTCCTAAGCCCTGTTTTTCCTCTCTCTCTCACAGCGCCATCAAATGGAACTTTACCAAGGTAAGAGTCATATATTATGGGGTGGTGTGGCCCAACTCCCCTACCCCCTGTCACCATGTTGTTTGTGCTCCAGTTTCTCATTGACAAGAATGGCTGCGTGATGAAGCGCTATGGTCCCATGGAAGAGCCCCTGGTGAGTGCCTTCAGAGATGCAGCCTGGGCCAGGCCCTGTGTGCTTGTTGGTGTATGGTTGTTGAGGGGGCAAGTCTGACCTTGTTGTTCCCCCACAGGTGATAGAGAAGGACCTGCCGTGCTATCTCTAGCCCTACAAGTGTGTGCCCCCACCGAGCCCCCCTGCCCTGTGACCCCTGGAGCCTTCCACCCCGGCACTCATGACGGTCTGCCTGAAAACCAGCCTGCTGGTGGGGCAGTCCCGAGGACCTGGCGTGCATCCCTGCCGGAGGAAGGTTCAGAGGCCTGTGGCCCCAGGCTCGAGCTTCACCTGGCTGCCTTGTGGGAATAAAATGTAGAAATGTGCTGTGTCCTCATGTCAGGAATTGAGGGAGCACACTGGAGATTAGAGGGCTCGGCCTATGTTCCAATGAGATCTGGGTCAGCTGGTTACAATTCCCTGGTAATCCCTGAGGCTCTGTTCTGGCCAGTGGGAAGGGCTGGTCCTAGGAGGATGGGGGCTTGTTTAGGAAGCCTCCTGGGCTGAGGGGTGTCTTGAGTATGTGTGTAAGCTGTCCCACATTCTCTGTGAGGGTTGTGGGTGACTTGAACAGCCTGGGCCTCTGGAGCAGGCAGTGTGGTGATGGTGGATCTGAGAATCTGGTGGATCTGAGAATCTGTTGATTCTCTAGTCTCTGGGGACTAGTCTTCCTGGATTTTTGCCCATGGTTTCCTCTCCTCCTGTGGGGCAGTGAGCTTTATGCTGCCAGGCCAAGTGACCTAACTACTATGGACTAAGTGTCAATAGATGACCACCTCTCTGTCTTCCCTGTTCCCATCACCTTCCTCTGCCAGGCCTGGGGAACCAGTGTCCTCAGTCCCAGTGAATTCCATCCCCCTAGCTTGTCCCACCAGGCAACAAGGGGGCAGGTTTGCTGACTGGCCCAGGACCTGTGTTTATTTAAGCAGGTGGCTGCTCTATAACCCTCAGGTTACCCCCTTCTACTGACCTGCAAGCCGTAGCACACTGGGAAGTAGGCAAAAGGCGCATATATTTTAAAAAAGACCTTTACATATGTACACCAGAGTTCATTATAAATACATAGAAACCAGGGCCCGCCAGTTGCCCACGGATTCCGGGGCTGGGAAGGGGCAAGTGATAATAATTTAGGGAGCAGGGGATTGCATATATTAACGGGGTCTGCCCCGCGGAGCCCCCATAGACAGTGGGGCCTCAGCACCTGATTTCCTGAGTTACCAGCTCTCTGGGGCCACCAAACCCCATGGCCTCCAGGCTGGGCGCAGCTGCAGCAGCGTGGGAGAGGCCCACAGGCCCCGTACCAGGCTGGCTGTCGGGAAAGGCACTGCGGCCGGGTGCACTCAGTAGTTGTGGGAACTTCTCTGCTTGCAGAGGAGCTGGTGGGCCTTTGCTGCCCACTAGACAGTTGTAATCAAGGGACCACGGTGGCTGCCTACGAGTTCGGGAAGGGTGGGCTGAAGTGGATGACGCTTTGCCGCTCTGAGCCCCCGCTGCCCATGCCCACCAGAGGCGCAGGAGTCTCAGTAGGCCCTGCGCGCAGAGAGCGGAGCATGTCCTCCAACACTTCCCTGAAATTGATGTCGCAGCCCTGGTGTGCCAGCTCCGCCGGGTTGGTTGAAGGGTCTCTCACACCCAGCATCAGAGAGCTGGGGTCTGGGAGCGGCAGCGAAGGGAAGGCGAAGCGTGGAGGTGGCGGGAAAGCCTCGGCTGGGGGACTGTAGGTCAAGTCCAACACCTCACCAGGACCACAGGGAAGCGCGATCGCCCGTGGAGTGGGTGGGCGCGCGGCCAGCCCCTGGGCGCTGCGGCGCTTCACCTCGGCATCCATCAGCTGCAGCTCCTGCAGGACGCGGTGAACGCAGCCCTCGGGGATCTTAATGCCTGGCGATGCAGACATGCAGTCAGGTCTGGCTGGGGAGCATAGAAACCCTTTTTCTGGGGACCCGGTGCCTGCCCGCCGCCCCACTCACCCACTTGCTTCTTCTTGTCCTTGGTCTTGAGGCGCACGATCTGTAGGTAGCTGCTGCTGCTGACATCAGCCATGACTGCAGCGATGCGGCCCCACACGCGCAGCAGCGCCCCGCACAACATGTAGTGATGGCGGAGGCGCAGGCCTTGGGCGCAGCCCTTGCCCTCCTGTGCCAGTCGGCAGCGCTGGTTCCTGTACCAGGGGACCGCTGGTCAGCTCGCAGTGTGCACTTTACCAGCCCACAAGGCCCTGGGACACTGGGTGCCCGGCTCCGCCCTCTGAGTGGCTTCCCACCCAGGCCTCACCAGGTGGTGTGGCTACAATGCTCCAGAGACAAGGCATAGCTGCTCTCCCAGGGTTCCCGGGCCTCATCCGCGGTGACCTGGGGTGACCATAAGTCAGCAGGGAACATGCTCGGGGACTCCCCACGTATTCCCAGCCAAAATGGGAGGATAGGCCCTTCCATACCCGGTGGAACTTGCGGCACAGGCTGTCCAGCGTCTCCAGCTGGCTCTGGCGGCCAATGTTCGGCTTGTATACGGTGAAATACTCGCCACGGCTCTGTTCGGCCAGGAGGCAGCTTGTTTTGCTGCCTCGTACCTAGGGCCCCAGAGTGGTGAGGCAAATGGCCAGCTGGGTGGGTCTCTGGCAGGTGGCTGGCAGGGCACCTAACCGAGGGTGGGTTCACTCACCTTGTAGGAGAGGTAGAAGCCGTCATAGGGACCTTTCAGCTCCAGAGACCTGGTGAATGCCTCTTCCCATTTCATACCTCGGTCCACGCTGATCTGCAAGGACAAGTGGGGGGTATTAGCAGGTTCAAGGACTAGAGCCAGGCCTGGGGCTGGCTAGATCCCTGCTCACCTTGTAGAAGACCACCTGCCCATCCTGTGGGTGTCCAGGTGCCAGGAACACCTGTTGGCTTTCTTCATGGATCTCATTGATGCCAGGGGCCAGGTCTGAGGAGAAGGTAGGCGGTCAGGGTCAGGTGGTAGCCGAATCTCTGATATACCCAGAGGTGACCCCATAAGTAGGCAGAGGAACCCAAAGCCTGGAGACCAGTTGTCTTGTGGGTGGGTGGCAGGGAACCTTCTGGCCTAGGGTACCCAGTGGGTGTCCTGCTGTGTACAGCTGTCCAGGTGGATTGTATCTGTTGGCAAGGATGGCTGTCTTTTTTAAAACAAGATTTCTATTTACCCACACATGCGCATGCATTGCACACAGAGACCAGAAGACAGCATGAGATCCCCTTGGAGCTGGAGTTACAGGCAGCTGATGGGTGGTATGGGGTGAGAATTTGACGGTCCTCTGGAAGGGCAGCAAGTGCTTCTGCCTGTCATGCTCTGTCTCTAGCTTCTATTTTGTTTGCCTTGAGACAGGGTCTCAAGCAGCTCAAGCTGGCCTGGAAGTCAATATGTACTGGAGGAGCCTTACCTTCTAATTCTGCCTCAACCAGTGTAGGCAGGCAAGTGCCACTGTGACACTTACAAATGCCCATTTGCTTCAGGGTCTAAAACCTTAGCTTTACAGTAGCAACAAGGACTGTGTGAGGTGAGTGCAACATGCAACAGACATGCAACAGGCATGCAGCTTGACACAAAGACTTCCTGAAAGCATTAAGACTTTTTTTGGGGGGTAGGGGCACCTAACTGCCCTGTGTGTGTGACTCAAGTGTGAGCTTCCCAGGTAACCAGGCTGTTACAATGACAGAAGCTTGAAGCAGTCTCTGGCCCTTGTCTGTCATCTCTCTCAACAGTGAACTTCACATATATGATGCTTTGGCCCCTGGATCCCACCAGGAGCTCAGATGGATCTCAGCACGGCTGCCCAGAAGCTTACCCAGAATGCCCATGTCGTATCTGCCTTCTTTCTTGTCTATCTCAATGAGGTGGTCAAAAGTGTCAGAGAAATACTGGAACAGGGCGTTCTGCTTGTGCACCTCCAGCCCCAGGATGCGGTTCAGAAACTTGGTGATGGAGCAGTCTGTGGGCGGAGCTGAGTCTTAGGCCTGTTGTCACCCTCCCAGTGGCCCTTGCATTACCACCTTCCAGGTACTTCCTGGGACTCACCCTTCTCCACATCCAAGCAGCCAGTGCGCGACTCCCGGCCACCAATGCCCACAGACAGCAGGCCCTGCTTCATATCTACAGGGAAATCCAGCCGCTGGTCCTCGAACCCCTGGGACCAACCCTGCCCAGACCTTTTTCTAGAAGCCCGACCATACACCCAGTCCCCAAATCCCAATGGAACTACTCCTGCTGTAGACCCACACCTCCCAGAAAGAAACAAGAGCCCAGGCTTACCCCGGAAGAAGGCGGCATCCCCTCCCGGGTAGTCCTGGGGCAGAGGCACCCTGTTGTCCACCTGGCCCAGGATCGTGGTGAGGACGCGGCTGAGAGCACGGGTGCCGTACTGTGTGGGGCAGACGGCATGAGAAGACGGACGGGCGGGATAGAGCACGGCCTCCCCACGTACTGCGTACTGCGGCCACTCCACCGCTGCCTTCCCTCTACTTACCTTATTCTCGAAGTTGTACTTGCTCAGGTCTCGGGACTCGGTGGCCCGGCGATCTCCGTGGGTCAGGGCACCCTGCCAGGGTGACCCAGGACCATTTGTGATTCAGGCTCCAGAATTCCCTGGACCACCCAAGGCCCCGCCCCCAGGACCCGCCTGCTCACCAGGCTCTCCAGCCGCTTGGCCACGATGGAGGCGAACCTGCGCTCCCCAGCCAGCTCCGAGATGAGGAAGACATACTCGGGCGCTGAGACCTGGTTGGACCTGTGTGTGCGGCCTGAGGCCAAAAAGGTTCTAAGAGACTAGACTGGGATGGGGTCTCGGAGAAGAGACTACCTGGGACGGGGCTAGGCGCCTCACCAAATTGCTGAATGGCGCGATCTGCGCTCCAAGGCAGCTCTAGGGTCATGTGTACCCGGCGTCGCTGGTTCTGGACTCGTCGGTCAGCTTGGAGGGAGACTCCAGAGCTGGAGGCCTCAGAGATTATGGCCACAAGCTGGGGATGGGTGTGGGAAGGGACAGGGTGTTGGGGGCCGTCCTCTTCATTGTTCAGTTCTGGGTCCCCAGGGGTACTCCCTTCAGGAGTGCAGGTGCACACCCCGTCCCCACCTTGCAGCTATTCCCTTGCAGAGCTGTGTTAGAGCACCCCACAGCCCCTGCCCCGCACCAGGCCCTACCTTCTCGCCGCTCATGAAGCGCTGTTTCTCCCTGAGGTTCACATGGTCGATGGACAGGCCCTGCTCTGCTCTGGACTCAAAGACCACTGACCCATCGGGCTTGGATACCACACGGCCTTTCCTGCCAGTCATCTGTGGTTGGGGGAGAAAGGAGCCCCCACTGGCTGTC